GGTCCTGGGCAATGTCCTTGAGCTTTTGCTGAAGACTAAACTGCTCTACCACTCGAGCTACAGCTCCGCTTCGGCTTTTTGGTGGTTAATTGGAGATGAGTCTCATGAACTCTTCCTGCCAAGGCTGGTTTTGAACTGTGATCCTCAGATCTCAGCCTCCTATGTAGCTAGAATTATAGGCATAGCCATTGGTGCCTGGCTTAAAAACAAACTATTTTAAAAATTAAAGATTACTTCTTTTTTTTTTTTTTGGGTCCGGTTGTGGGGCCTGAACTCTGGGCCTGGGCGCTGTCCCTCAGCTCTCAGCTCAAGGCTAGTGCTCTACCACTTGAGCCACAGCACCACTTCCGGCTTTTTTCTTTTTGCTTATGTGGTGCTGAGGAATCGAGCATGCAAGGCAAGCACTCTACCACTGAGCCACCTTTCCAGCCCAGGATTACTTATCAAATAGAAAAAATTGGTTAAATGAATAGAAAAAGGATCTATAATAATGTTGCCATATATAACTACTGTTCAGGTAGAACTATCCATAGAAGACAAAGTACAAATAAATTACTTAATGGCAGTAGTATAGACTTTTTGTTTACACACAATAAATTGATTAGAAATGTTTTACAGTTGTATTTTGAAGAAATAGTTGAGAATCTAAAGTAAAACTAATTGGAGACTTAGAAAAATATTCATTGCCTGGGGCTGGGAAGGTGGCTCAGTGGTAGAGCGCTTGCCTTGCATGCATGAGGCCCTGGGTTCGATTCCTCAGCACCCCATAAGCAAAATGAAAAAAGCTGGAAGTGGTGCTGTGGCTCAAGTGGTAGAGTGCTAGCCTTGAGCTGAAGAGCTGAGGGACAGCGCCTAGGCCCAGAGTTCAGTCCCCACAACCGGACCAAAAAAAAAAAATATATTCATTGACATAATATTTGCTATAGGTTTTCCCTTGCATATCCTATAGGATATGGTAGAAAAAAATCACCTGTTTTTGCTATGATACTGGTTTATTAAATTCTACAGAAAATAATTAGTTATGTTTGATAGCTTTAGCATTGAAGAATAATTACAATGTTACTTCAGTTACTGTTTTTCTGCATTGTTTTCAGGAACTGTTTAAAAGGAAAATCCACATTTGTAATACCTTACTGTACATTCATCCTACCAATACCAATAATGATGCTGTTTGTTTGGCACTGTACCTGATCCTGAAAATAAAAAGTCTGATAGACCACTGACTGTTCCCTGACTAAAAATCTTATAGTTAAGAAGTAAAAAGATGGGGCTGGGAAGGTGGCTCAGTGATAGAGCGCTTGCCTTGCATGCTCGAGGCCCTGGGTTCCATTCCTCAGCACCACATAAGCAAAAAGAAAAAAGCCGAAAGTAGTGCTGTGGCTCAAGTGGTAGAGCGCTAGCCTTGAGCTGAAGAACTGAGGGACAGCGCCCAGGCCCAGAGTTCAGGCCCCATGACCTGACCCAAAAAAAAAAAAAAAAGAAGTAAAAAGATAAAAAAAGTAAATCAGCTTTGTATAATAATAGGCTGGCGTATATGTGTACATATGAACATCAAAGCATACTTATCTAACCACCACTTGGAAGAATCCTAGAGGAACTGATGTCTAAGTTGAGTCTTAAAAAAAAATAGCTAGCCGGGCACCCGTGGCTCATGCCTGTAATCCTAGCTACTCAGGAAACTGAGATCTGAGGATCGGGGTTCAAAGCCAGCCCATGCAGGAAAGGTCTCGAGACTCTTATCTCCAATAAACCACTAGAAAACTGGAAGTGGCGCTGTGGCTCAAGCGGTAGAGCGCTTGCCTTGAGCTGAAGAATGCAGGGACAGTGACCAAGCCCAGAGTTCAAGCCCCACAATGGACCAAAAAAAAAAAAAAATTCATAGCAAGTATTGCCCTTTCAGGGAACTAGAACAGTTTGATGTTATTTTATAGGAATCAAGTCAAGCTAAGTGAAAAGCAAATCAATTCTTACAGTGCTTATATGCTATGAAGAAGAAAAGTTGGGTTTTGCCATATGGATTTGGGGGAACCAGTAAAATTTAACTTTGAAAGTTTTAATTCTTCACTATTCAAAGGGGTGATTTGGGGAGGACAAGAGGCAAAGGCAAGCAAGTTAAAAAGCAGTGGCAATAATATAGGCAGGAGGTCAGGCCTGAATTGTTAATAACAGTAGTAAAAAGTTGGATAGAAATGCAGTAGAAAATGATAGGTCTGTGATGGTCTTGCACAAAGTATTGTAATTGCTTGTTCCTTTTCTTGTTTCTGTTACCACTTTTCTTTTTTCCAACTACGTTTTATTTGGGGGGGGCAGTTTTAATAGTACTGGGTTTTGAACTCAGTGCCTGGGCACTGCCCCTAATTTTGTTTTTTTCCTCAAGACTGGTGCTCCGCTACTTGCCACACCTCTGTTTCCTTCTTTTTTAGTGGTTAATTGGAGATAAGAGTCTCACAGTTTCCCTCTCCTAAAGAGATCCTTAGAACTCAACCTCCTGAGTAGCTACGATTACAGATGTGAGCCACCGAAGCCCAGTTCTCCAACCATTTTTTTAAAATGCCATAAATATCTTTAAAAAAAGAAGACTGGCTAAGCTGGAGTTGTAGCTTGCCCTTAGAGTTCAAATTCTTGTTCTGTGAAGGAGAGAGAGAAAAAAAGGGAGAAGGAGGGAGGACGCACAGACTATAGACAAACTCATACTGACCTCAGACTGCCTGGATAGTGCCATTAGATTTGTTGTACCAGAATTGGACCTCTAAATGGGAGTTTAATGTCATTGGAAAGTGAATATAAGTTTTGGAATGATAAGCAAGATTAAAAATCTGTTTCCACTAATTAGTTAGCTATATGATCAAAAGTTACTTAAGCAGTCTGAACTTGCTTCCTTGTTAGTAGAACCTAATTGTGGTGAATAAATGAAGTGCTTTCTCAGATAGTAGAGGTTTGAATGGCATTTATTCTTCCCTTAAGTCAGAAAGCAGTAGAATCACAGTACGGTATATATCCACGTGGTATTCGAATGTCATGAGGCTTGGGGGCTAATGAAGAAAATATCTGAAATGGCTTTTTATGGGAAAATTGTAGTAAAAATAAGGTTGAGAAACATTGCCATAGTGTAAATGGTCCTGTTCTTTCTTGTTATTAATGTTCATGTGGTCATTTTGAGAGGAGTCTATTATTTTGTCATCAGATTATAGTCTTCCCAAACATATTTAAGTGCCACCATGTACATTTTGTGTTTTCCAAATACATGATGGCCTAGGGTATTTTAGAAAATATTAAGTATACTAGAATAATAATTTAGTGAAAGGTTATCACCATAGAAATAATTTATCCAAATAATTTTAATAAGTTTAGAAATCAGAGTTTCTGCAGGAATTATTAGTATTTCTGTATAATATTCAGAGTTAAAAATTAAACATTTCTGTGTGTTTTCTTTTAAATTAGCAAGCTACTAATGGCATCATTAGTAAATTCTGGTTAACTGAAGCTTTGGGTTCCAAGCCTTTTAAAATTTGTCTGTTTTAAACTGGCACACAGAACAACTAGCTAACTGCTACACAAACTCCTATTCCCGTGATTGTGGGAAGGTATTACAGGTAATACTGATGAGCATCATCAATTACTGCCATTCAGATCTCAAGTCTGACTGTATAATTTTATACTAGGAAAGACAAAAGTTAACTTTTCTTTGTTAAAATTTAAAATTTTCCTAATAATAAACTAGTACACATACATTAACAGAATAGAAGCATCATATGAAGAGAAATATATTCTGCAAAACTAAATTTTTTAGGTTCTTTCCATTCTTTTGTATCTTGAAGAATGATTGTTATTCACAACTTTTTGGGAGGTGGTGCTAGGGATTGAACTCGGAACAGCCCATGCTAAGCATTTGTTCTACCATTGAACTGCAATATCAGCCACATTGTTTTCAGTATTGTATTTGAAACTTCTCATTGAAATAGACATTATTGAGGTATCTTTTATGCACAATAAATTTGCTTGTAGATATTTTGTGGTATGTGTGTGTGTATGTATGTGTGTGTATGTGTATGTATGCCTATCCTGGGACTTGAACTCAGGGCATGAGCATTGTCCATGAGCTTTGTGCTTAAAGCTAGTACTCTACCACCTGAGCCACAGCTCCATGTATGGTTCTTTTGGTGGTTAATTGCAAATAAAGACTGCTTATACTGACTTTCAACCATGATCTAGTCCCAGAAATTACAAACTAGTTTCCTTTGAGTGAATTGAATCTTAAAATGTTTTGTCTATTGTACTCACTATTGACTCATGGAATTGTAGTGACATTTTAAAATCAGCTCCTACATTTAAAATTTGAGGAAATTCATTATTAAAAATACAGCTTACTGCTTGGCTTATGTCTATAATCCTAGCTACTCAGGAGGCTGAGATCTGAGGATTCAAAGCCAGCCCGAACAGGAAAGTCCACAAGACTTTTACCTCCAATTAACCACTAGAAAACCAGAAGTGGTGCTGTGGCTCAAAGGGTTAAAAAGCTAGCTTTGAGCGAAAGAGCTCGGGGACAGTGCCTAGGTCCCAAGTTCACACCCCACGACTGACCAAAAAAAAAGCCAAAGTGGCTATGTGGCTCAAATGGTGGAGTGTCAGACTTGAACAATAAAGCTAAGGGACAGTGTTCATGCCCTGAGTTCAAGTCCCAGTACTGGCTGGCATGCTCGCTCATGCATGAGTGTGTGCATGTGCGTGCATGAGGTAGCTTGCTTTCCTCTTTTGAAATGCTACATAGCATTGAAATACTGTATTCTTCTGTGACAGCTCTTGAAAGCCACAGTCAGTTTGAAATTGTCCATGCATTTTCTAGTGTTCCACAGACCTGCTGCTCTGTATCATCTTAGACCTGGCTACTTCACTCATTTAGGAGCTCTACTTTTAATCTCTACTCTCGACTAATTTGTGTTCAAGCATCCTTGAGTAGCATTCTTGGTTATTGCTTATTCTATTCTGTTTTTGTCTTACAGGAGAAGATGTATGGTCTTATGCAAAAGGACTTCCTCACATGTTTCAGCAGGGTGGCGTATTCTACAATATTATGAAGAAAACCATGGGTATAGTTAATTTCTGATTTTGTTCTCAGATAATATCTCCATTCAAGCTGTTAGAGGATTAAGAAAGTTCAAATAGTATTCTATTAAAAATTATTTTTAGTTGGGTGCTGGTGCTCACATGTGTAATCCTAGGTACTCAGGAGGCTGAGATCTGAGGATCACTGTTCAAAGCCAGCCTGGATAAGAAACTCTGTGAGACTATTCTCTCCAATAAAAACTATTACGAAAAAGCCAGGAGTGGTGGTGCTATGGCTCAAGTGGTAGAGCACTAACCTTGAGCAGAAAGAAGCTCAGAGATAGCATGTAGGCCCTGAGTTCAAGCCCCAGGACCAGCAAAAAAAAAATTCTTAGCCAAGGATTGTAGTACATGCCTACGAGTCCCAGGTGTTTGGGATTCTAAAGTAGAAGGATCACTTGAGTCCAGGAGTTTAAAGCTAGTCATAAGCAATATAGTAAATAGTAAGATCCCTGTGTTTTTTTGCACATAAACAAATGTGCATATACACATATATACACGTATATACATATGCATATACATATCATATGTTTCTTGAATAGTATATATGATGTATATTATATAGTACATACTTTATATTAAATACTATAGTACATTTTTTAACAAAAGTGTAAAAAATTAGTTGTTAAGTACATAGTCATCATAAATCTGCTTCAGTTAAAATAGATTATCCTGACATGGTCAGCTGTGTTTTCTGCTATTACTGTATACTATATTACCAAAAATTTCCTATCACTCTTTTGCTCTTAGACTCTAGGCACAGTTTAAATTACATTGATCCCTCAAGTTGTTCTATAGACCTTGTGATAGGTTAAAATCCATGAAGTAGCAGAGTTACATAGTTGTCCCTACTATATTGTGGTTTACTTGTTGCTACTTCACAGGTTTTCACCTATTGCGGGGGTCTCTGGAATATAACTCCCGTGATAGGGGAGGGATCATTATTTATGTTTTTTTTAACCCAGAAATACAGTGAACCATGACATAGTGAGGGATGACTGTATATATAATGTGTGTGTGCTCAGGGCTTCAGCCATGGCTCCATCCCTTTTTGTGCTAATTATTAGAGATAGGATTTCTTTCCTTTTTTTTTTTTTGGCCTGGTCTGGCCTTGACTTGATCCTCCTATTTATGCTTCCCTGAATAGCTTAGATGATTGGTTACCACCAAAACACCCAACTTTTTCTCTTGAGATGAGACTCTTGAATTTTTTGCCCAGGCTGGCCTACAAGATGACCATGATCTCTCCCTGTTTTACTCTCCCACATAGCTGAGCTAACAGGCACACACCATACTGTTCCCAGCTATTGACAGATAGAATCTTAAGAACTTTCTTCCTTGGACTGGATTTGAACCAATAGGATTATATCTGTGGTTTACTGGTGCTTGGCTTATATTATGTATATAGCTCTTAATAACTAATTAATGGTTATAATGCTGGTAACTACTTTAGACCAGCTAATACAGCATTTTTCTTTTTCTTTTTCCTTTCTTTTTTTTTGGGGGGGGGTCAGTCGTAAGGCTTGAACTCTGGGCCTGGGCGCTGTCCCTGTGCTCTTCAGCTCAAGGCAAGCTCTATACTGCTTGAGCCACAGCGCCAACTTCCTGTTTTCTAGTGGTTTAGAGTCTCTCGGACTTTCCTGCCCAAGCTGGCTTTGAACCGCGATCCTCAGATCTCAGCCTCCTGAGTAGCTAGGATTACAGGCGTGAGCCACGGGCACCCAGCTACAGCATGTTTCTTGCTGTTGTGTTTAGCTCTAATTAGAATATAACCCCTAGTTATCTAAGTTTTGGGAAATAGCACACTTTACACTGAACCTCTTTGACATTATGTGTTTATTATTTGTAAAGGTATATTCAGTAATACATAAGTTTGTAACTACACCTTAGGAATTTTAGGATCTTAAGAGAAATTACCAGGGCATATGCTTGGACCTCTTAACATCAAAGATTCAAATGCACGATTTTTGGCTCCCAAATTTTTCCTTCATCTTATCTCACAGTTTGCTTTGTCCTCTATAGTCATTAAGTGTAGAATCTCTTTCATTTCTTCTTCATAGGCTTTTTTTCTTATGAAACTTCCCCAGCTTGGCTATTGTAGAAATATACAAACATGTAAAAGTAGCAAGAATATCATAATGAACCCTCAATGACCCACCTTCAATGATTATCAATGTATGTCTACCTTTCCTTTCTCCTTTCATTCTTTTTTCTTTTTTATTGTCTTTTCTTCTCTATTCCTTCCCTTCTCCCCTTCCCATCCCCTTTACTCTTTTCTTTCCCTCTTTCCTTGTGTCCTCCTTTCTTCTCTTCTTCTGACAAGGGCCTTGTTATATAGCCCTAGCTGGCTTTGAACTGACAACCTTACTACCTTAGATTCCTGAGTGCTAGGATTACAGATGTGTGCTACCATGCCTATCATCTCCCTTTCTCAACTGGACTGGGTTCTTGTTTTTGTGTTGGTCCTGGGGCTTGAACTCAGGGCCTAGGTGCTGTCCCTGAGCTGATTTTACTCAAGGCTGGTTCTGTATTACCTGAGTCATAGCTCTACTTCCAGCTTTTTGGTAGTTAATTGGAGATAAGAGTCTCACCAACTTTCCTGCCTGGGCTGGCTTTGAACTCAAATTTCAGCCCCCTGAGCAGCTAGGATTACAGATGTGAGCCACTGGCATCTGGCTTCAACTGGACTTTTTAAATGTAAATCTCAGATATAATATGCTATCATCTATAAGTCTGCAATATCTATCTCTGAAGGTAAAGGATTTTTTTTTCTGTTGTAATAAAAAATGAGAGTAGGCACTGATGTCTCATGCCTGTAATCTTAGCTACTCAGGAGACTGAAATCTTGAGGATGGTGGTTTGAAGCCAACCTAGGCAGAAAGTCTTTGAGACTCCATCTTGAAAAATAATCATAAAGTCAGGCTCCTGAGATCCTGTCCCCTCCCCTAAATAAATAATAAATGAAAGACTACAATACCATTTCACATATAAATTATATGAAAATACCCAATACTGAAGAAAACAAAAAAACTTGCTGTTTATGTTCATAGTGCCAGGCTCAAATCTGGGAAAGCACTGTACCACTGAAATACATCCCCAGCTCCTTAATAGTATTTTAAATACCATCAAGTAGTATTCAAATTTCCTTGCTACTTAATTGTCCCTAAATGTTTTCTTTTTTCTTTTCTTTTTTTTTTGGGGGGGGGTCAGGTCATGGGGCCTAAACTCTGGGCCTGGGCTCTGTCCCTCAGCTCTTCAGCTCAAGGCTAGCGCTCTACCACTTGAGCCACAGCACCACTTCCGGCTTTTTTCTTTTTGCTTATATGGTGCTGAGGAATCGAACTCAGGGCCTCGAGCATGCAAGGCAAGCGCTCTACCACTGAGCCACCTTCCCAGCCCCCTAAATGTTTTCTTATTTTGCCATATTTGAAATAGGACCAAAGAATGTCTTTTTTAAAAAATTGGATTATTGAGGTATATTTTACATAAAGTCATATTTTCCTGCTTAGACATACAGGTACAAATTCAGTATCTGAAATGCTTAGAAGTATTTTGGATTTTGGAATATTTACATACATATAGTGAGATATTTTGGAACTGGGACTCAAATCTAGAATTCATTTATGTTCTTTATATATCTTATATGAAGGTAATTTTATACTATATTTTAAGTAGTTTTGTGATATGAGGCAATTTCAGTGTGAAGTTTTCTACCAATAATGATATACTATATTGAAAACCTTTCAGATTTTGAAGTATTCTGAATTTCAGACTATTAGATTATCTATATTGAACCTATATATGAATTTTATATGCAATATATTAATTTTGAAAAATATGTACAAACATGTAATCAGCATAAGCTATAATAGAGTATTTTCGCCAGTCTAAAAGGTTGCTTTGTGACCTTTATAGTCAGCCCCCCTTCATTTATCCCCTTGCTTAACATGCACTGATTTGTTTTTTGACCCCATATGTTTACCTTTTTTGTTTTATCATATAACTGGAATCATTTAAAGTGACATTTTTGTGTCTGGCTTTGATTTAGCCTAGGAGTTGACAAACTATGCCCTAAAGGCTATTGTAGAATTGTTGCCTATAGTATGTAAGGCTTTATAAAACAGCCATATTCATGTATACATATTATTTGTGGCTGCTCTTTCACTATAGTAGCAGAGTTAAATATTTTGTGACAGAGACTTTATATTCCATAAAACCTAAACCAGAAATCATGTTGCCCTTTATAGTAAACAATTTGCCTTTTTCTCTTTTGTTTTGAATTTTGAAGCATGAAGTAAAGAGATTTATTTTGGTCAACTATTTTAAATGTCTGTGGCCCAAAATCTGGTGACAGTTTTCCTATTGGCAAAATCTGTCTTTGGCTAGAGACAGGAAGCATATGTGTGTATCCTGGGTCATTTTTTTGTTTTTTGGGGTGTGTGTGTGTGTGTGTGTGTGTGTGTGCACGCGCGTGTGTGCGCATGTGTGCGTGTGTGTGCGCGCGCTGATTCTGGAGCTTAAACCTCAGGGTGTGTGTGTGTGTGTGTGTGTGTGTGTGTGTGTGTGTGTGTGTGTGTGTGTGTGTGTGTGTGCGCGCACTGATTCTGGAGCTTAAACCTCAGGGCCTGTGTACTGCTTCTGTGCTTTTTCACTCTAGGCTAGTGCTCTACTACTTGAGCCACAGCTCCACTTCTGGCTTTTTTTTTTCTGCTTTGGTATTTAGTTGGAGATAAAAGTCTTGTGGAGTTTTCTGCCCAGGCTGGCTTTAGGCATGAGCCACTGATGCCCAGCTGAGTTATGAGTTTTAGTATATATTCTTAACCACCATTGATTAGCTAGATGTTTAGCAAATATTTGCAAATATTTTCTCCCAATTTGTAACTTGTCTTTCATTCTGTCAATAGTATCTCTTGAAGACCTTTTTTTTTTTTTTTGGTTGTGGAGCTTGAACTCTGAGCCTGGGCCCTGACCCTCACCTCTTCAG